ACGGTAAACAGAAAAACATTTGTTTTGATTGCTAAAAAGTTTATAGTTAAATTATAATGTTTAATATTATTTTAATACATTATGTTTATAAATGAACTGTAATTTGATGGCATATCTTTCGACCAGTCATAAATTAAAGCCGTGCTAGTCCCGAAGTGTTTATAGTCAAAAACGCGAATGGCTATGATTTTTCGTAAAAAATATTTTTGAAACTTTACAATTTCTGGATACCCAAAAGCGTCTGTATCTTTTTTAACTGTATCACTATCCTTTAATAGTTTTAGAGCTTTTTGTTTTTGCTCTTTTTCATTTTTAATACTTTTCCACTGTTTCTTATATTTGATAGTGTCATTTTTGTTTGAATAAACCTCGCCGCAAACAAGAGCCCTCGCTAGACATAAATTATCATTATTTTGAATACTTAATACTCCTTTCTTTTCTATATTTTTCATAATATCTACGGAGGCACTCATCCCTTGAGGCACTTGTACATATGTTACCTCAACAATTATATTTTGTAAAACGTTGAAAATTCTCTTACTCTGTTCGATCCTTCCAAACAGTTTTAGAAAATCTTCGGCCGTGAGTGTGTAAAGAGGTCTATAATTTAATCCTACAGCACCATCGGTCAACCCGTCCGATTCTAATGACACTCCTACTAAATAATTATGCTGGGAATAACGGTTTTTAATCATATCGACAAATTCCTCCATCACGGAAGCTAACCAACCATTTATTTTACCCAGCGTTACTATATTTTCACTTGGGGGTAACATCTTAAACGTAATCAGACGCCCTGTTGATCTGAACGCCTTAATATATTTTTCTACATCTCTTATTATATTAATAAATTCTCTACCTTTTAGTCCACGATTCTCTGGAACAACTTTTTCTATGTGTACGTTCGTAACACCACCACCTTTTTGCACAAAACCACAAGCACAGTTACACCCACAATCAATTTTGCTACTCACTTCACTTGTTTCCGGTGTCGTATATGTTTTTTGCTGCTGCTGTTGTTGATCCTGAGGCTGTTGTTGTTGCTGTTGTTGTTGCTGCTGTTGTTGCTGAGATTGTTGTTGATGCTGCTGCTATTGCTGAGGCTGTTGTTGTTCTATTTCTTTTTGTGGACCACTTGGTTCCGAATCAGTCAGCTCTGTTAAAATACAAAAGTTTTTTCATTCTATATTCACAATGAACTACACTTATAATGATTTATTAAATGAGAAAATTCATTTACCTTTATCTGCTCCAAGATAACAAACTTCTTTTTGCATTCCCGATGGACCAGTCATTAATTCGTCATCGTTCTCGATATTTCTTTTCCTATTTCTACTGACTAGTGTAGAAGTCATTGGACTTAGCGTCTGTGAGGACGAGGAAAAAAAAATTCTTTTTTCGGCTATCGTATTCACTGAAATTAGTAACAATAAAATTATATAAAAAATAACGTAAAAATTACTTTGATTTGAAGTGATAAAATTTACTTACTTATTATTTCGTAGTGGTCAAAAAATGGCTTTAAACAGTCACTGTTCCGTGAGTTGAGTGGTAAACTTTCGGCTACTACAACCACAGTTTTACACAAATATCATTCAATAAACTTGTCTCACTGTCAGAAAGAAGCCCTTGGAATAAACTCCACAGCATTTCTTGAAGCTCTTGCACTGGTGCATTCGGTAGCACCTTATTAATATAAACCGCCGGGTATTCTAATTTAATCACGTCATGAAGCGCGAATCCATACATGACACACTGCAATACTACTGCCCGCAATTTTTCAATCACCGAATCCATGATGAACACGCGTACTACTTCTTTTCAACGGTTAAGAGAATATTGTTTTGGCTATGAGTACTCGATAGAAACTGACTCTTCCTTTTGGTCTTAAGTTTCTTATCAACTCTGTATCTTCTCTTCTTTTACCCTACTCTAGAGAAAATGCATGGAGCGGGGAGTATGAAAATCACATAAACAGTGAGTAAAGCCAGTCCCTTGATATTCGTACAGTTTTTAATGACTTTTCGAGAGCTCGTAAAACTTTGACTCTGACTCGACTTGTTTCATAGAGTAATGTTTCACTTTTTATAACCCTAAAGTAAAAACTGATATGGGATTACTATTGATACAATTGAAAGGCTTGTTGTCTGTTTAGGCATACTTTGTAGCTCTCATATGGTTTCTTTACGGAATGGTAACATCCTACGAGTTTATGACTTTAGGTCCCAACAACTGACAGTTTCCATGCAACCATCCTCTTAAAGAAAAACGCGAGATAGTAAAAGAGGATAGAAGGAGGAAGAGATTGAGAGAGAGGGAGAGAGGAGAAGGATAGAACGTGAGATCTGATAAACAGTCAGTCCCATTTTTTCGCTACCCGATCCTACTTTAGTAGTGTGTCAGCAGTCGAGCAACCGATACGTTGACAGAACCCCCTAGCAATCGTTAATAACGTATTTTATCATCGCAAGTGTTCAGTGCTAAAGTGGTGACTAGTAAAAAAAAATTTTTATAACGTTTGAAAATGGCTACGGCGGGTGTTGTTTCGAGACGTAAAAGGGATGCATTTCTTCAAAATGAAAACTCCTACAAGTTCCATGAAGACGACAACACCGATCCCACGTCTTATTCTAGCTTAAATGTATTAATTACTACATATGTTTTAAATAAATCTTGCACAAAAAAGATCTCAGTTGGATTATACTATGATTTTGACAAACAAGTGCTCGAACCTTTGATTCTTTTATCAAGGAATGAAACCACGAAAGGGTTAAATCTTAGTTCAAAAATGTGGAGTGAAATGCAATCATTTTGCAGTTATCTCAGATTATTTCAATAATACGACTACCCAAGTATTAGATCGAATACATTTTAGTGACATTGAGTTGTTGTTTACCACATCTTATGGAACAAAATCTATTATATTCGATTTTTACCAGGACAACAATAAGCAAGATGGGTGTAAAAAAAGAAACCCTACGGTACTACAGTAGTGATGCAGAAACCAACCTTTTGTGGACTTGCAGCTGCAAGTGTGGATGTGGATGAAAGACTTCATCGTATTGAACGTGTTACGATATTAGTAAATAAATGTAAAAATTTCATCACCGAGGAAATGATTCTAATGCTGAAAAATACCGATACAGTAAAAAAAATTGATGATTCGGTGATAGAAGATGCTGTGAAGAAAAATTCTGGTCAAATTAAAGAAACTGTAAAAGAAAAGTTTCAGTCTCCTACCGACAGTGTATTTTTGCAACATTATTTTGAAACTGTTTTCTTAGAGTTAGAAAATATCTGTGTAAAAATATTTCTAAATGAAGTAAGGTAGAAGTTGTGGAATGAATAATTTTTATGTACAAGAAGGTATAAATAAATGTTTTAAAACTTATAACTTGGATATTTCTCATTTTTACTTTTTCTATTTTACGTCTTTTTCTCAAGACAACTTACTCTGATACAAGCACACAGAACTGCAGCCCGTAAACATTAATTTTTATAGCTCCTCTGACTTCCTTTCCCTCCAATCTTTATTTCTTACCCCCCTCATAATTCGAGCCATACTGCATCACATCACATATGTTTCCCCATCCCTCACCCCCCTTCATACATTAAAATTTTCCTCGTAACTAAGAAATTCCATAGCTCTTTGACTTCCATATCTCCCATAATTCTTCTACCCACTTGACACAGCTTATTTTATTTCTCAACCCTCTTTCTGTTGGTTAGAAAACATATGGCCCTTCCACCCTCACAGCGTACTATCACTTAAAAAACAGGTTCTTTCACGAAAACCGTAAAACAACAAAATAGCTCTCTTAATCTTCTAAGATCCTGATTTTCTCACCCTACAACTAGGTCTGTTGCTAGAAGATAATAACCTCTAGTTAGGAGCATATGACATTCGGTCTGCATTAACACCCCTCACAAATATACCTCTCATACATACTTACTATCCTGATACTTTAGCGCTATTTTTCCTCCTGCATCGATAAACAAAAGAAATACCACATGTCTCGGACATCACCTTTCGCAGACATCAAAGATGCAAGGGAGACAGGGTCACTCCAGAAGTCCTATATTTTTACCTCTCCACCCCACCTCCAACGCCCACCAGATTTCAAAAACCGCGCCACTCCTCGAACCCCCAAAATTTCCCAGCTAGGGACCCCGCTCCTCACCCTCCTCCAACAGCACGACCAAACACTCACCCCGAGCCCGACTGACGGCGCCAGACGCTGACGTCAGAGGTGTCTGGTAATTACTTACCCGTTCTCAAAGTCCCCAAAATTCCCCAGCTAGGGACCCCGCTCCTCACCCTCCTCCAACAGCACGACAAAACACTCACCCTGGGCCCGACTGACGGCGCCAGGCGCTGACGTCAGAGGTGTCTGGAAATTACTCACTCTCACTACTTATGTATACACAAATAACAATTTAAGTAACTGTATTCAAGATTTTAGTAGATAAAAGCCTTGGTTCATAATTTATGTTGATAGTCTTAACAAAAAATAAATAAACCAATCAATTAAGTGAGATAAACAATTGTTGGTTTTTGTTATAATGAGGAATACTTAACTAAGTGATGATTGTGCTTGTGACGAATGACAACTTTTTTGACTAAGCGCAGTGTTCGTATATTACAGAATTTCTTTCATTAAAAACTAAAACCCTGGCAAGTGAACTGTGTTATCGGAGTGATGTTTAAAGTGTTATAAGAACTTATTCTATGTTTAGCTTTTTTTAATTATTGTTACTATTATATGCATTTGTATATTGGTAACATAAATATTATGCATTCCAGACGTATAAGTATTGATATATGCATACATATAGCGTTAACACCCGACAAGGCGTAGAAGTTTCAATATGTAATGCCAATAATATACAGTGTTATGTTTTTTACTTTAAAATTCGCAAAACCTTTCATAACTAATTACAGAAAGTTTAGTGTTCGTATTGAGTAAAAGTTATTTTGTCATAAATTTTTTCTGTTATAGGTCACTTTAGAAAACTACTACAGTAACCTTATTGCACAACACATTGAGAGAAAACAAAGACTGGCAAAATTAGAAGAATCTTTAAAGGATGAAGCTTTGTCTGAACAACAAAAACAGGAAAAAAGATCACAACATGCCCAAAAAGAAACTGAATTTCTTAGATTGAAACGTTCACGGCTAGGAGTTGAAGATTTTGAGCCTTTAAAAGTAATAGGAAGAGGAGCTTTTGGGGAAGTACGTGAACATTAAGTATTACATTTACAATCTTTATTAAATTTTGGTTCTTAAGATATAAAGAAATATCAATTTTTGTTACATCGATGAACTGAACCAATTAGTACTATCTGTATCCAGTTGTTTATGAACAATTTTGAAATGAAGTTTGAAATGAATCATTATTATTATTTTTAATGTCATTGTAGTTATTATTGTTATTATTATTATTGTTATTGTTGTTGTTGTTATTATTTTTATTTTTATTTTTATTTTTATTTTTTTTCACTCCGGCACTTCCTTTGGCTTCTCTGTCGCTNTTTTTTAAATTACGATTATTATCATTACTATCTTTTTTTTTTGTTCACTTGACGTCGTCCAGAATTCCTTGACGCACGATAGGAGGGGACACGAACTCCTTTCCTGTGTGAAACTCGGAGACTGTCTGAAGGTGATGTTTTCTACTGTGATGTTCTTAGCAATACAGACTAAATACCCACTAAACTAGCAAGACCTATCTCCTGGCACACCCAGCTTGGAATCTGCTTGCCCATTAATGCTTTGAGCCGGAGCTACTTATTGACGTTCCCTTTCATCAGGGTGTCGTCACTGTCGTGATGTTACCGTCTATCTAGTCTGTCTAGTTATTTGCTGTTTTGTGGGAACATTAATTCTCGTTGCTTCGCCTTTTTAATGGCTTGGGTGAGTCAGCACAGCTCAGGTCTGCAATGTTCATGCCGCTTTCGTCCGCTTGGACTTTACTTGCGCCTTGTATGCACTTTACTCTTAGACTCTTCTAGCGCTTTCCTAAATGCTGTGAAGCAACCACTATCTACTCCATATTTAGCACCTTCTGTTCTGCAAGCGAAACATTGGGTTTTCTTCTTGAAATCTTCATTACAGTGATTGCAGCTGCAGCATCAGAAAGCATAGCTTCGACCAGTCCTACTTATCGCAGTTTCAGGCTATGTGTCCGTACCCTAAACACTGGTAGCATCTGATGACTTTAATCCGTCTCCTTACTTTGCAGCTTATAAGGTCTATTAACAACCTCTTCATTTCTTCTATACTTCTGGTGTTGATATCTACAGTTTTATTGGAGCTACTTTTTGCCCTTTTTTATTCGCTCCTAGTAGCGACACTGTTCTTGTCTGTGGCAAGCAATCAGAAATCTACTGAATTTAAGTTTTACATTGGCTTTCTCGTTAATCCGATCCAGATCCTAGATTTTGAGCGTTATCTCTATATCATTCTATTTTATGAATCCTAGCCCCCTCACAGTCTTAGATATACTGCTAACTAGGTTCCCTTTGCCCTTTACTGCTCTTACTTTGAGAAGAATATCTTTCTTTTCAGTTATAGTGACTCCTTTGACTGTGATCTCAGCCTCTTCTGGCTTGAAATCAGTCCTTATCTTCTTTGGGACTTCTTTTTATTATTATTATTATTATTGTTATTATTATTATTGTTATTATTATTATTATTATTAATAATATCAGTATTATTGTTCATATTATCATTATCATATTTATTATNTATTATTATTTTTTTTTTCCTCTGTGGGACCTGCAGTCAACCTAAGGATGCTTATTTCTCGCTACAATGGTCTTAGAAATGTTGACTGAATACCCACTAAGCTAGCTCGTATCCCGCTTTCGTATTAATCCTTCGAGCCACAGTCTCTGAGACTTAGCTCTTGGTACGGTCTTCCTCTCGTGGTTTCATGACCGTCGTGTCGGGCAGGTGTGCGTGTTTAGTAGGGCATTCTCTAGTTTCATTTTTCCTAAGCGCCTGTCCTTTATTTATGTTAAGAGCAGTATGCCCCTAGTAATTGTATATCCACTGCAAAGTACGTGGAATCTTGACAAAAAAAAGGATTTTTTAAGGAGCCTTTTTACGATCAAATGCTAATACAGGTCTCTTTTTCGCTTATTTCCTTACTTCGCAACTGCGCCCAAGTGGTGCCGACCCCCTGCTGGTTTCTATAAGGCCCTAATAACAGGCCCCTTCCCCTCCAGACGATTCCGCTCACCAGCTGGAGGATAAAAGAGCAAAGTGGTCTTTAGGAGTGAACTCGCACTTAAGCGCTCATGAAGGCTGCCGTTTCACCTATTAACCTGTCTCACGCTAGCGCCCGAGGAACCTCTTTCCTAGAAGCTCAATGCCCTAAAAAAAAAAAAAAAAAAGAAAAAAAAACCAGTGGGCAGTGCGTGCTTAGGTACCCAATTAAGAAGTTATACTTCTATACAATTATACGGCTGATATAATTATAAACATAAATATACCTTTCATGAAACGATACTGTGTACAAAGGTGGTGCAATCATCGTTGTAATGAGTATACCTACATAAGTTGGGTGTGGTTTTAATGAATATTTCACTACTTAATAACTTAACAATTATAAACAATATGTTATGGCACAATACAATATAAATAATATTGAGGCTGGCCAGTACAAGATTGTGTGCTTTCATCAAATCTTCCGATGGTTTCAAATCAACTTCCTATACTGCCTACGCTAATTATATCTGTAACATCACACTCAAATTTATCACATACTTATAAGATTTTTCAATAGCATAGTAGTACATGCCAGTGAATGTCCCTTCAGGATGTTCGTCACTCACAGATTTTTTGACAGATATTATTCAAACGTTTAACCTACATTGAAATAGCATGAAAAATTTCACAAAAATTGCAGCTCATTTGACTATACCAGTATTTTATACATGTTACATTTCAAAAAATTGATATTTAAGATTAAACGGCATTTATATGATTTGTACAAATCTCCTAATTTTTTTGGTACAAAAGATTACTTTTAGATAAACCTATCAAATTTTCAAATAGACCCACAAGTTGGTTTTTAAACGAATTCAGAAAGAGGAAATAAAGAGTGCGTAAAACCATGTATGTGAGTACATCTACATGAGTTAAACAATTGCTACCTTTACTGCACAAATTAGCGTTCCTCTCACTTCTCTGAAGTTTTTTTCCATTAACTATGTGAAGAACGTCCTTAAGTCAAAAAATGACTTTAATCACGAAAGTATACCAAAAATACCATAAGAAATACCCAAAAAAATTGTAGATCGTTCAACAGAACTATAAAAACTTATTTTTAAAATAATGACGTGTCACTGGTATTATATCTTTGATATTTATTGATCGAAAGTGAACGGTATAACGGAGGAAAATAGAAACGGTGAGAGAGGTTCGAGTCTTCAGAAAGAAGTGAAGAGAGAGTTGCTCCTGCTTGACAACACAGTCACTTTGTTGATTTCTCTGGTTATCAAGTTATTCGCTGCATCAAACAATTGCCACCATAGCCTCCCGTCCGCAAGAGAGCCATTACCCCCCTTGCCCCGGTGCTCCTTTTATTTTTGAACAGGAAAATGCGGCCCCGGACATTCCAAACGAAAGTCGTGCACGCGGCTTTACGAATCGTCAACTTTACGATTCGCGGGCGCAGTTATAGAAACAATCGATAACATATAGTATTTTAAAAACGAGCTACTCTCTCCTTCTCTTTCATTCTTACATTCTTCACATTTCTCCCACTCATACAAAACTTTATTTTGTACTCAAGCATACTTGACAAGTTTTCTCGCTGGTCTTGTCAATGTTCCGTTCGCAATTCGAGCTTCAGCGCTACGTACTTGACCGTCGTCAGGATTCACAAAAACTTTGGTAATTATACCCTTTCTCCAATAATTTCTTTCAACCTTATCATCTAAAATTATTACAAGATCACCCTCTTGGAGAGGTGCCTCACTTTTTTGCCACTTTTGTCGTGGAATTAAAGTAGGAAGATATTCACGCAATCATCTTTTCCAAAAAGCGTCGGCAAAGCTTTGAGAAATTTTCCACTGTTTTCTCGTACAAACGTTTTGTAAATCGCACCGACTTATTCTTATCTGCCCTGAAGACGCTCCCAATAAAAAATGGTTAGGCGTTAGGGCTTTAATATCTCGGGAATCAGAAGAGACATGTGTAAGAGGCCGAGAATTAACAGAATGCTCTATTTCTGCAAGAATTGTCGCGAGCGTTTCCTCTTTTGGAGCATGTTCTTTTAAAACAGCAGTCAGGGCAACTTTAACCGATCGAATGAGACGTTCCCATGCACCTCCCATATGAGGTGCGGATGGCGGATTAAACTTCCACTTAATATTTCGATTAGTCATATAATTACCCAACCTTTCGCGATTTAAGTTCTTTATACATTGAGAAAGCTCTTTACTCATTCCCCTGAAATTCGTACCGTTATCAGAATATATTGTTTCAGGAGTTCCCCTTCGGGCGGTAAAACGTCTCAGAGCCAATATCGCGGAATCTGTACTTAAACTAGATGCAAGCTCAATATGAATGGCACGTGTAGTCATACAGGTCAGTAAAACTCCCCAACATTTTTCGCGCCTCCTCCCTATTTTAACCTGAATAGGCCCAAAATAATCAAGTCCGCAATGAGTAAATGGACGACAACGGTAAGCTAAACGTCCTGGGGGTAGAGCAGCCATTTCAGGTTGTGCTGGTTGACCTTTCCGAATTTTACAAATTATACACATACTCGATAAGCTTTGAAGACCTTGATGCAAACCCACAATCCAATAATTCTGTCGTAGTTCGTTAAAAACCGTTTGATGATTAGCATGATAATATTTTTCATGGTATTCCTTAATTAATAATTTTACGATCGGATCTTTTGCACAAAGAATAACAGGATTTTTAATTACACCGTCTGATGCAAATTTTTGTATCCGACCTTCAGATCTTAACAAATCATTTTTGTCTAAAAAAGGTGTTAAAATTATAATTTTACTATTTCGTGGTAATGGCTTTGAATTTTTTAACGCATGTATTTCTTTGTTAAATGACATTAGTTGACTATTTTTAAAACAAATTTCTTCAGCTTTTTTCTTTAGCTCTACAGCTGTCAAAAAATTATTATGCCATTGTTTATTGCGTTCTAAAGCTGAGTAACTTTTTCTTTTCCAATTTTCTGCGGCTTCTAAGACTCGTGA